TAGAAACTTTAATTCAAACATTAAAGCTAAATATCACAGAGATTTGCACAGCAGTTTGTTGCTATGGCATCTTTCTGGCTTCTTCAGTTACATCACCTGCAAAAAGAAAGTCACTCATATGTCTCTCAAGCTCTTCTTGTTGAGCCCATGCCTCCATCTGCAGCAGATAACTAACCAAGTTATTGTTGGACACTGCTCTGTGTGTCTTAAAATGTAGATTAAATTATCCAGACCCAACATCATTGAGGAATCTTTATAATGTTGGAAACCCTCAGTTATCAGAGAGCTAAATCTGAGTCCAGGGTCTTTCATTTAGAAATATATTTAAATTAATTGAACGTTACCTAAAAATGTGTTTGGTGGATAATGTGTCCCTCATGTATTTGCTCAATTCCTCCTAATTATCCTAATGTTTGCTAGCTGCAATGTGATTACAGCTTTGTATAGCAAATCACTGCTGGAATACAATGTCAATACATCACACTTGGCATCAGAACATATCCAGTTCTGCAACCTCAAGAGGCACATACCTTCTGCCTATAACACATATTTTTCTTTAAATATGAAAGGTTGTTGAGGCCCTGATTTAAAATTCTAAGGATACCAAAGGGACTGGCATCATAGGAAAGAGACTGTATCTTGAAATTGTGTCTACAATGAAGATACTAAAATTTCAAAACCATGAATCTGGAGATTTAGGTGAATAAAAACATAAATTATAAATCATCTATTACTCATACTAAGGACTGTGTTTTAGAGGGCCCTATGAGAAAATACATTAATTAGTCTCTTAAAGTTTGAATTGCTGTTTTCCTGTGAAGACTCCTTTGAAGAAATTCATATGACAGGCTCTTAAAATAGCTCTTACAATAAAAAGTAAATTGCTTTTTAAAATAGTATTAATGTGAGCCTTACCGGAACACTGGGAGATCATCTAATTCACATTTTACAAGTGAGAAGCCTGAGTTTTGGAAGTGAAGCCTTACAAAAACACTGGGAGATCATCTAATTCACATTTTATATGTGAGAAACCTGAATTTGGGGAGTATTAGTAAACAATTGAAGCATCATTCTTACAAAGTACAGTAAATCATCACCCCACCATTGGTGCCTCATCTCTAGCATGAGATGCAAGTTTTCAACAGCAAGGGAACTGTTACCACCATGTCACACCTCATAATCTCCTAGGACTTCCAACTAATACCCAAGAAAGGTAGGTCCTATATTGAAGCTGCAGCATGCTGGTCCATGAGGCATTAACTATGAGTTTGTTCTTTCTTACTGCAGATATGGTCATACCTGCCATGGGTTTCTTTCTACCACAATATTGCTGTAGAATTGATAGCCACAATGGAACTTTGTTTTTTTTTATTTATTTATTTTACAATACTATTCAGTTCTACATAATAGCCACAGATTCCCTTGTTCTCTCCCTTCCTGCCCCCTCCCCTTCCCCCCAGCTCACCCCCCATTCCCACCTCCTCCAGATCAAGGTCTCCCCCAAGGACTGGGATCGACCTGATAGACTCAGTACAGGCAGGTCCAGTCCCCTCCTCCCAGATTGAGCCAAGCATCCCTGCATAAGTCCCAGGTTTCAAACAGCTAACTTGTGCAACGAGCCCAGGACCTGGTACCACTGCCTAGATGCCTCCCAAACAGATCAAGCCAATTGACTGTCTCACCTATTCAGAGGGCCTGATCCAGTTGGGGTCCCCTCAGCCTTTGGTTCATAGTTCATGTGTTTCCATTCTTTTGGTTATTTGTCCCTGTACTTTATCCAACCTTGGTTTCAACAATTCTCGCTCATATAAACCCTCCTCTTTCTCACTAAATAGACTCCCAGCGCTCCACCTGGGGCCTAGCCGTGGACGTCAAGGCTGGCTTCAACCTCATTTTATAGCCCAGACATGAAATATACTCAACAATATTCTTGTAAAATAAATCAATCCAGTGTTCAGTCCCTAACAGCATTTTGATATTTACTTACTCAGCTTTTCATTGGATACTTTACAATCACAATATTAATGGCAGTCAATCTTTCTGTGTTACTTATAAATTGCCAAGACTTCCAAGTTGGTATAAACTCATAGGAGTGAGTCCATAAAGGACAGGTCTACCCAAGACCTGTCACTCACTGGCAGCTGCCTGGAATTTTGAGTTTCTTGTCGGTGTACTGGCCTCCATTTGCATATCTCAAATTACACACCAGTAAATCTGCTACATTACCCTGGACTTGGCCTTGATATAAACAGTAATGTATCTGTCTCCTAAGTCTGAAATATCCCACCCCTCTGGGTCCAATCTGGAGACACAAACAGCACAGCAGTTTAATCAAACAAATTCAATATGAAATTATCCATCTGTAGCAAAAAGGAAACTAAAATTTATCAGAATCTCTGGGTTTGGAGGAATCCTCAAAGAAGGAAAACTAGACAAGAACGATACTCGCCTGACAAATTTAGAAACTGCTGTACTGTGCCAAAGAGTAGGGCATTGTGCCCTTAACAGGAAAATGTAGTTACCATCTGAACTGCTTCTTCACCTAAGGGGAAAAAATGCAAAACAGAACATGAAGAAGTCTTGAAAGGTGATGGACGTGTTTATGACTGAGTTTATAAGCATGATTTCAGAGGTACAAGGATGTATTCAAATTGACAAATTATATACATTACATACAGGCAGCTTTGGTACATTAATTATAGCTCTTAGAAACCACAAAATATTCTCGTTCTTCAGTCCAGGGGGAGCAAGCGCAGGACTGCCACTGAGGGTGCTATCAACCAAGAGTGGAGGAGTGAGGTGGTGAGAAGCCCGGACCCACAGGCGAGCCCCTCAAAGTGGAGACTGAGCAGGTTATAGCAGGTGTCTGGCTTTCGGAAGGTCAGCGCGGTCAATTGTCGGCCTTAATTTCTGAGCAACCAGAGTCCTATTTACGAAGTTGTTACGGGTGCCTGTGTGCGGTAGTGCACTCCTCCCTGCCCTCCTCACAGCGGTGGAGCTTCACGCTTTCCATGATGTCTTTGATATGCTTGGAGCTGGGTTTTGTGCGGGATGAGAGCTACGGTTCTAGATTCATTCTTCTTTAAGCCACTGTCTAGTTTTCCCGGAACCATTGGTTAAAAATGCTGTCTTCTCTCCAGTGTATAATTTTGAAGTGTTTGTAAAAATCCAGGTGGCTGTAACAGCACACACTTAGACCTAGGTCTTCTGTTATGTCTCATTGATCTACATTTCTGTTTTTGTGCCAGTACCATGGTTGAGGGGTTGGTTTTTTGTTTGTTTGTTTTTTGTTCAAGTATAACTTGAGATCAGGTATGATAATGCCTTATTCTTTTTTTATTCAGATCATTTTGGCTGTCTTGATCATCCCATATGATTTTTAAAGATATTTTTCTACTTTTATGGAATCAAAAAGCTTTTGTTTATAAAAGGATGCAGTCATTAGAATGAAGAGAAAGCCTGTAGAATGGGAGAAAAGTCATGGCAAACTATACATCCAAAAGAGGATTAATATCCAGAATGTACAAAGAACTCAAAGACCAACATATCAAGAAAAATAAAGAAATTCAATCCAAAAGAATAGGCTTTTAATATGACCATAAATTTCACAACAAATAAATACAAGTGCCAAAGAAACATTTTTTAAGTGTAAAAATCACTGGTCATCAGGAAAATCAAACTAAAATTACTTTGAGATTGCCTCTCATCTCAGTCTTAATGACTGACCTGTGATGATATACTGTGTACCCTAGTAAAGTTTGCCTTGAGGACCAGAAGACAGAGCCAGCCACTAGATTGGACATAGAGGTCAGGCAGTGGTGGCATACACCTTAAATCCTATCACTCGGGAAACAGAGATCTGTCTAGATCTCTGTGAGTTCAAGACCACATTGGAAAAAGAGCCAGTGGTGGCACCTTTAATCCCAGTACTGGGGAGCACACACTCCTTTAATGCCAGGAAGATGTCTGGGAAGAGAAAGGTATATAAGGCATAATGAAACAGGAATTTACTCTCTTGAGGCTGAGGACTTTGTAGAGTTAAGCTAGTGGCTGGCTGTTCTGCTTCTCTGATCTTTCAGCTTTCACCCCAACATCTGGCTTTGGATTTTCTATTAATAAGACCACTTAAGATTCCTGTTACACTGTTCATCATAAAAAAAATCAACTGATAACAATAACTGGAGGGGATGTGGAGAAAGAGGAAACCTTGTTCACTGTTGGCAGGAGAGTAAGCCAATATAGTCTCTAGAGAGATTGTTGTGGGTGTGGAGGTTTTCAGAAGTAAATTACATTATGACACAGCTATACCACTCCTGGGCATATATCCAAAGGACTCTACATCCTACTGATACATACTTGCTCAACTCTTTAGAGTTGTGTGTTTAACTAAGGGTGCCTAGAACCACCTGGAAATTAGAAAGAGATTATCATACAACCAATGCCCTAAGGGAAGGAAAGTTGAGGTGGGGAACTCTTGGGTTACTTAGGTAAGGATAGTGTGGATGACTTGGGAACATATGGGGACATTTTATTAATAAAATCACCTGCCAACCCTACGAGATTTATCTCACATAATTCAAAGCACATGATATTTCAGTTATTTAATTTCAATACTCTATTAATTAATGATCACAATTACATAAAGGAGTCTATACTTCTTAGTGAATCATTTATTTTATTCAGAAACTGGCATTTTTTTTCACATTCATATATTCCAACTGGACATTTCTTCTGTGCCTCTGAAGACAGCTGCAGCACAGGCTCCAAGAGGTGATTGTGAGGGTTTACACTTCAAAACCCAGTAAAATCAAATCCATCTTCCATGATGTGCTGAAAGTATTCAGGCTATACCAGGAGTAAACAGATATTGTGAGATGTTCCCAGGTATCAGCACACAGCTGTCAGTCATTCCTTGAGCTCACAGTAAACAGATGAAGGTTCCAGTTGGACTTTCTCTTGCAGTGCTTGTTCCCAAGCTGAAGGAAGAATTGCGCTGGAGACTAGCAGCAAGAAGAGTGGCATTTTCTGTAGCAAAGAGGTCTGTAGCTACAGCAGCCAGAGCTGAATCCACAGCCATACCTGGAACCATATCCACAGCCAGAGCCATATCCACAGCTGTACCTGGAGCCATATCCACAGCCAGAGCCATATCCACAGCCGTACCTGGAACCATATCCATAGCCAGAGCCATATCCACAGCCGTACCTGGAGCCATATCCACAGCCAGAGCCATATCCACAGCCGTACCTGGAACCATATCCACAGCCAGAGCCATATCCACAGCCGTACCTGGAGCCATATCCACAGCCAGAGCCATATCCACAGCC